GTATATGGTGTGTATCAGGTTTCCTGATATATGTATATATATATGTATGTACTAAGTATAGTATATATATGTGGTATATAGTATATATTAGCTGGGGCATGGTGGCTTATGCCTGTAGTCCCAGCTACCTGGGAGGCTGAGGCAGGAGGATCACTTGAGCCCAGGAGTTTGAGGTTGCTGTGAGCTACCATGTTTCCCCAAAAATAAGACAGGGTCTTATATTTATTTTTCCTCAAGAAGACACCCTAGGGCTTATTTCAGGGGACTGTACTTATTTTCCCCTCAAAAGCCTCAGCTTGCAGGGCACGCACAGGATGGCCGGCGACCTGACAGCCAGGGAACCGACCTTGTTGGTGGGCTGCCCTCACCTTTCCAGTCACCTCTGGCTAGTAGCTGTCACGGGATGGGGCAGATGAGAAGGGCTGCTCTTCTCTTTTACCGCTCTGCGAGGAATATGCATGGGTTGTGCAGATACACTGCATAGCCACGCCCATCACTAGGTCTTATTTTGGGGGTAGGGTCTTCTATTGCACAAATGCTTAGAAATCCAGCTAGCGGCTTATTTTATGGGTATGGTCTTATTTTCGGGGAAACACGGGTAGGCTGACGGCCACAGCACTCTAGGCCCAGGTAACAGAGCGAGACTCTGTCTCAAGAAAAAAAAAGCATTGTTATTGGAATTCACTTGGTGAAGTATTTTTAGAGTTGGAGCCCCTCAAGATCAAAGCCCTTGGCCTAGAGAGGGTGTTTCAGGAGGAAATACCCGGATACACAAATACCTCCACCCAGGAGACTGGAGCGCTGTGCCTGACGTGGTGATCGTGCATCTTTTTAGGGCATCTATGGGCCAAGTTTCCCAGTGGACTCTGGGAAAGGGCCCGGGAGCCCATTTGAGATGACTGGTGTCCTTCCAATGCTGGGGGAGCTCCGGGGGAGGACTGTGACCTGATCCCACTCTCAGGAGTTGAGGAGGCCACTGCTGACTTGGGAGCCAACACCGAGGCTCCTAAATCTGGACTTCGCTAAGAATCCTGACACGTAAACATTCTTGGCATGCCATGGAGGGGTACCAGCCTCACACCCTATAAGCAGCCAAAGTGTCCCAATGCCTTGTTTTCTGGAGGAAATGTGCCTGCTCCACCAAATGGTGGAGCAGCAGGACGGACCCAGCTTCCCGTGGCGAAGGTGTGGAGCGTGGGGTGTGATCCTCTGCTGGAAGGTGTGTTCTTTGGCTGGCACGTGTGGCTGGAGCTAAAACTGGGATTCTGTTAGACAGAATGGATGCGGTGGGATACAGTTATACTAAAAATTATTTGTTCTTCTATCTGAAATTCAAATCTTAACTGGGATCCTGGATTTCTTTAACTTGCCAGATCCGGCACTACAGGGAGAAGGTGGCACAAAGGAGATGGATTTGAGGCGCTAGGCCGGTGGTGAAGCTGGCAAGCCCCTGGCTGGGGTGGCTTGGCTGCGGTGGGGGGAAATACAGGAGAAGGAGAACGTGCAACAGGGGTGGATGGTCATGCTGTTGGCGGGACCCCTCTACTCCTGTGGCATTGTGTACGATGAGAAAAGATGTCCTTTCAGTGGACGCAGCCTATGGATGCACAGGTCGGTGAGCCATGTGCAAGGCTGGACTTCAACCTCCGTTTGCTTGTCGAGCAGAGAACTTGTTTACATAGCACTCACGGCAGCCCTGAAATAAGGAACGCTGAGGAAGTGCAAGGTTTTCTGGGAGGAGGTCAGGTGTTTGGCAAGTTGACTCTTGGAGGAACCTGTGACACACAGCTGGAACTGTCTGACAGTTCCTGGCCTAGCCTAGGATGTCTCGTTGGGCATCTAAGTCTGGGGGCCAGGTGTATGCATGTGAAAAAAAAAAGTCTCCTGTGAGAAATGTATGTCCCAAGCCTGTGCCATGTGGGTTCGGGGTTACAGATGCAAATGACACAATGGGAAATATCCACCCCAAATGAGTAATAAGCTCAAAAGACTCTGGAACCTCTGGGCCCTCAGAAGAAGCAAAGTCTCTTTGGGAACGCTTCCCCACCACAGGGGACAGGGGACTCCCTAGAAATAACACAACATGAACATGGTCTCCTGAGAAAAAAGTTACAAAGTACACTTGGATTCAGCACAAAGGACAGTGTCAGTAGATGAATTCAAGCCATTTAAGTGATTGACCATGTTTAGCAATACAATATGAATTACCTGGATTTGGGATGCTTGCAATGTCCATCTTGCTAGTAACGTGACATCAGGACATTAGCTTTTCCCAATGCTGGCTGAGAAATTTCTAAAAGGGAAGGAGGCGCTTAGGAGTGCAATCTGATAGATGGATGGGGCTAGAGGAGTTGTCTTTGAAATTGTACAGTCATGACACGCATAAAGATGGTTTGGCCAAGAACGGACTGCATGTGATGGTAGCTCCCATGAGATTATGAATACCATCTTTTCACTGTTCCTTTTTTGTATTTACCGTGTTTCCCCGAAAATACGACAGGGTCTTATATTTATTTTTCCTCAAGAAGACACCCTAGGGTTATTTTCAGGGGGATGTGTTATTTTTTTTTAAGTACGGTACAAGAAGTCGTACATCTTCTCTCTCTTTCCAGATATTAAGATTCTAATTCTTACTTTATTTTGTTAGCATTTCATTAATATACTTTTGCCTAGTCTTTTGCTTTTGAATCACCTTTGCTTTTAGGTCTGTCTTTTAGATATAGAATTAGATTTTACTTACTGAAAATATTTTTCTTTGATAGGTGAATTAAGGCCATTTGCATTTATTGATTTTACTGATATATTTGATTTCAGTTCTATCATATTATTTTGTTACTTTTTATTATGTGTATTATAATGTATTTACTGTAAGTCTTTCACTGTTTTCTTTGATTGCTTCAACCAAAGTTATTATAAGAAATCCTTTTGATATTTAGGAATGTTTGTGTTTTTCCTCTGATGGTTCTTTATGCTAACATATTTATATACATTGCTGTCAGTCGTGCTTTATTTACTTGGGCTTCTACTTGTTGGTTCATGAGCCTTAAATGATAAGCATGACTCCCACCTATTACCTATGTGGTAACTCTCTTCTTCCTTCTTGCAGGGACTTCCTTACCCCCAGCAGTTTTATCAGGGCATTTTTGCAACCGTGGTCCATTTCTCTCTAAAAGTACAAGAATTCTAGCTTCCAAAAGATAAAAATATTCTCCATCTCTCTGCTGCAACTCATGCTAAAGTCACACTTCCTACTAACTCTTTGAACACACTCGGTGCCGCCCGGCATATGCCCTTTCACGTCTCAGTAGACCTGGGAGGACCCTGGGTGTCTGCATTGGCCAAGGCCCTGGCAGACCACAGAAAGCGCACTGAGCTGGGATTCTGAAGACCGCTTAACAAAAGGAACTGTTTACAGGTGTGTGGGCAGAGTTGGGGGAACCCACGTGCGAGGGCGAAGCACCCAGAGGCTCATGGCAGCGGGAAGCTCCCAGGTCTGAGCAGCAAGAAGACGGATTATGGTTTGTGGAGCAGTGAAAGCTGCAGCCCTGGAACAAGGGCTGCCCAACGGAAGTCGTGACATTGCCAAATGCAGCCACCACCAGAACTGGGTGCCTTGGGAGATGATAGGGCGTGAGGGGAGGAGGTAGGTAAGAAATACCTCAACCTCTCGCTTCCTACCTTTTGATCTCCTATTGGTGCCTCCTTAGCCACACCCAGCTCAAAGGTAGGAGCACGGAGAGCCAAGGTGATGCCAGCTGCAGGGGTCAGACTCCTGGCAGAGAAGGGCCCAAAAGAGAGCTGGGTTTGGGGCTGGGTGCGGTGGCTAACTCCTGCAATCTTAGCACTCTGGTAGGCCGAGGTGGGAGGACTGCTTGAGGTCAGGAGTTCGAGACCAGCCTCAGCAAGAGCGAGACCCCCAGTTTCTACTAAAAAAAAAAGAATAAAGGAAAACTTAGCTGGGCAACTAAAAATAGAAACAAAAAATTAGCCAGGTGTAGTGGCGAGCACCAGTAGTCCCAGCTACTTGGGAGGCTGTGGCAGAAGGATTGCTTAGGCCTAGGAGTTTGAGGTTGCTGTGCACTCTAGCCCAGGCAACAGAGCGAGACTCTGTCTCAAAAACAACAACAACAAAAAAAACCAAACAAACAACAACAACAACAACAACAAAAAAAAACAAGAGAAAGAGAGAGCTGGGTTTGGGGTAGGGGCAAATGGTGAACAACTAACATGATATTTTGTTTTGAAGCTAAATTGGAGGTCTTTTTACTTCTGGAGCAGGTAGTGCCTTATCCACAGATGGTGTTTGTAAATTTTGCAGCAAACTCTAACTTAGGCTGTTGTCTTCTTTCTACAGCTTGCCTTTCTGGGTGAAGGAGAAGGCCAACAGTTTGCAGAATGAGATAAGAGAAGTTGAGGAGCTTGAAGATTGGCAGCCATCAGTGCCCTTAACACACGTCGCATTCCCCTCTGGTGTGTTAAAGAGCTTTCAAAGAATAGCATAAAAACTGGAGGAGCACAGAAGAACAGGCTTTGAGAGGCTTCTCGGTGGAAAGGAGGGCAGGCAAAGCCTCTCTGGGAACTGATGTGTCTTCTGGCCCAAGGTGGCCCCTCGGGCAGATGTCATGGCCGTGCACCGAGGGTCTAGTGTGTTGGTTGAGAACTGTTAGTCTTGTCGTGGAACACAACCTCTAACTCCATGCCTCTATCCATAGGTGCCGTGGACTTTCCAAGACAATCCTGAACAGAAACAGGCCTCTTCCAGTTGATGGGTTTTGACAGTGTGACTATTCTAAATCAAATGTTTGACTCTAATGAGAAAGCATTGTGCTTTGCTTTTTTAAAATGTCATATTTTGAAAACTTACAGAAAAGTTGCAAGAATCTTACAACAAACACCTGTACCTCCCCCGCCTAGATTCTACAATGTTAACATTTTTCTAAATATTCTCTGCCACACATTATTACGTCTTTATTTTGCTGACCTATTTGAGAGTGAGTGGCAGACATTGTAACCCTTTATATCTCAGCGTGTGTCTCCTAAGGTCAAGGACATTCTCTAACAACCACACTACAAATATCAAATTCAGGGAATTTAACATTGATGCAATACCACAAATATATAGTCCACATTCAGTTTGGTTCAATTCTATTTAGTTTTCTAAGGATGCCCTCAAATCAATGGTAAAATGCAGACATTTTGTGAGTATCTTAGTCTATTCAGGCTGTTGTGACAAAATACATACACCGAGTGGCTTAGAAACAACAAGAATTTATTTCTCATAGTTAGGCTGAAGTCCAAGCAGATTGGGTCTCTGGTGAGGGCCTGCTTCCTGGTTCACAGACAGCACCTTCTCTCTGTGTGCTCACATGGCCTCCCAATGGCCTCGCCTCCTAATACTGTCACCTTGGGGATTAGGTTTCAACATATGAATTGGGGGAGGGGGGGACACAGACATGCAGATCGTAGTCGTGATCTTGCATTATTTTTGCTAAGACTCTTCTCATTTTATTAATACGTTTTTGGAGTCTTCTCTAACATTAACTTGGTACATGTAAGAAAAGCATGAAGGCTGGATCCACACCAGGTACTTAATACTACTGCCTTGGAGTTCCATTCCTGACTTCAGTTAATGCCTGTGTACACAGCCAAGCAGGGTGACAGCTCAGTGGCCAGCCATCATGAGTTTTAGGGCATCCCGTCAATCAGACAAGAAGCAAACATTTGGAGGAAAAGGTGGGGACAAAAGCCACCACCTACATGGTCAGGCCATACAGTGACACAAACAAAGCAATGACTCAGCATTTTCATAGCCTCTCTCCTTGTCCACCGAGGAGCCTGCATTTTTGGCTAATGAGGGCTGCAGATCTAGTCTCTCCCGAAACCTTAAAGGAGAAAGGGAGATTGGAGCCCACGCTGAGACTCCAAGTGCCCATGACAGGAGGAAGATTTCCTTCCCTGTCAAAACATCCGTGGTCTCCAGACACAGCCAAAGTGAATGAAGCAGATTTAGAACGCAGTGCATTCACGCTACCTTCCCGTGTGCCTTTTGATTAACTAGCAGAGAACAAGGTGCCTCCTGCCAGCACCTGGGCCTGACAGCTGCTTGGGTTAACAGCAGCATACATCTGTGCTAATTCTCTGCCCCCTAAGACATAAGGGCTACCCCACCCCCAAAAACTCCAGGAAAGAAAAGAAAACCAAATAATTTTTTAAAAAGAGAAGTCACCAAGAGATTTTTTGGAATACATTAACTTCTGAAAAATTAATATTTTGGGGGCTTTATTACTTAAATATAAAATTTACTGCAACTACCTGGTGGGTGGATAATGGAGGACACGACACAGAACAAAAAGGGATTCTATAGGAATTTCCTGAGGGATTGTCTAGGTGAAATAGGAAACTGCTCTCAGAAGGTATTCCGGTGTTTTGGAATGAAGGAGTCCTACACTGTAAAGTTATTAAGAAAAACAACCAAAACACAGTTTCAGAAGGTTTGCTACAGTCTCCAGGTTTCAAAGAGGTCTATATAATTCCTAGATAGTACTCTAACCCTGAGTAGATATGAATTATTATTATTTTTTTTGAGACAGGTCTTGCTTTGTCACCCAGGCTAGAGTACAATGGCATCGTCATAGCTCACTGCAACCTCGAACTCCTGGGGCTTCGAGTCGTGTCTTGTCTCAGCCTCCTGAGTAGCTGGGACTATATGCACATGCCATGACACCTGGCTAATTTTTCTATTTTTTTGTAGAGATGGGGTCTTGCTCCTGCTCACGCTGGTCTTGAACTCCTGACCTCAAGCGAACCTCCCACTGCGCACCTCCCAAAATGCCAGGGGTATTATAGCATAGCCACGTCCACCCTGATTCCTTCCTTCCCTCCCTCCCGTCCTCCTTCTCTCCCTCCTTCCCTCCCTCCTTCTTTTCTTTCTTTCTTTTCTTTTCTTTTCTTTTTCTTTCTTTCTTTCTTTCTTTCTTTCTTTCTTTTTCTTTCTTCTTCCTCCTTCCTTCCTTCCTCCTCCTTCCTTCCTTCCTTCCTTCCTCTTCCTTCCTTCTTCCTTCCTTCCTTTCCCTTCCCTCCTTCCCTCCCTTCCTCCCTTCTCCCTTCCCTCCTTCCCTCCCTTCCCTCCTTCCCTTCCTCTTCCTTCCTTCCTTCTTCCTTTCCTCTTTCCTTTCTTTCCCAGACTGCAGATATCATGAGTAGATGTGATTTTTAAAAACAACTGTTAAATTATTGAACTTCTGGAATTGCAGGACTACATTCTATTCGCTGGAAATCAGGAGCGGTTTTCACTGGATTTGGTGTCCTCTGGTGGGCACATCTCAGTGGCCAGGCCTTATTCCATGACAACTCAACAGCTGCAGAGGAGAGTTCCACCGCCAACCTTGGCAGGATGTGTGTGGTGTCTGTGTGTGCGGGGAGATGAAGGCGTAGAGAAGGGCCATACGGAAGAATATGTGCATGTTATAGCTATTCCAGCTCTCGTTCTTATAGGTACAAAGAGTTGAACCTGTTGGATATTAAAGATCCTTTTTACCCCCCTTTAGTTCTATAGTAAATAAAAACACATGATGCTTTCAGGGTTTGTGGTGGTTCATTTCTTACTTTCCATAACTGAAGTCTAATAGAACAGCCTGTACATGACTATTTACAAGTGAATTCACTAGAATAACAACTTTACATTGCACATAGGTATTCTAGTTTCAGATCCTGGGACAAATGAAAAGTGGTATCTGTGGACAGGAGAGAGCATTGAAGACAATTCCAAAAGTGTTTCCACAGTCTCTGCGCTCTACATTACCAAAATATTAAGGCATTCGAAAATTCCAGAAAGGATTTATGAATATTCTGTAGGATTTCACTAATTGTCCACATTTTTAGTATGAGTATTCAATTGGGTTAGTTTTTTTTTCTCTTAGGCATTGTGGCCCTCAAAAAGCCAAGTAGTAAAGCATTGGTTTAGCACCCGGGAGGCAAGGCAGGGAGGGGTCCTTTGGGAGTCACAAAGTTCCAGACCAGCCTGAGCAAGAGTGAGGACCCCCGTCTCTACTAAAAAAATTGAAAGAAGTTAGCTGAGGGCAACTAAGGAAGTATATATGATATATGTTGTGTATCGTAGGTATATGATTATGGTATATATGTATGTATTATATATATGTATATATGGTGTATTATAGTATAATTAGCTGGGCATGGTGGCTTATGCCTGTAGTCCCAGCTACCTGGGAGGCTGAGGCAGGAGGATCACTTGAGCCCAGGAGTTTGAGGTTGCTGTGAGCTACCATGTTTCCCCAAAAATAAGACAGGGTCTTATATTTATTTTTCCTCAAGAAGACACCCTAGGGCTTATTTCAGGGGATGTATTATTTTCCCCTCAAAGCCTCAGCTTCAGCACGCACAGGATGGCCGGGAACCTGACAGCAGGAGAACCGACCGGTTGTGGGTGGCGCCCTACCTGTTCCATCACTCTGGGATAGTTAGCTGTCACGGGATGGGGCAGATGAGAAGGGCTGCCTCTTTCTTTTACCGCTCTGCGAGGAAATGCATGGGTTGTGCAGATACGCTGCATAGCCACGCCCATCACTAGGTCTTATTTTGGGGGTAGGGCTTCTATTGCACAAATGCTTAGAAATCCAGCTAGGGCTTATTTTATGGATAGGTCTTATTTTTGGGGAAACACCGTAGGCTGACGCCACAGCACTCTAGCCCAGGTAACAGAGTGAGACTCTGTCTCAAAAAAAAAAAAGCATTGTTAATTGGACTTCACTTGGTGAAGTATTTTAGAGTTGGAGCCCCTCAAGATCAAGCCCTTGGCCTAGAGAGGTGTTTCAGGAGAGAGTACCCGGATACACAAATACCTCCACCCAGGACTGAGCGCTGTGCCTGACGTGTGATCGTGCATCTTTTAGGGCATCTATGGGCCAAGTTCCCAGTGGACTCTGGGAAAGGGCCCGGGAGCCCATTTGAGATGACTGGTGTCCTTCCAATGCTGGGGAGCTCTGGGAGGGACTGTGACTTGATCCCACTCTCAGGAGTGAGGAGGCCACTGCTGACTTGGGAGCCAACACCGAGGCTCCTAAATCTGGACTTCGTACGAATCCTGACATGTAAACATTCTTGGCGTGCATGGAGGGTACCAGCCTCACACCCTATAAGCAGCCAAAGTGTCCCAATGCCTTGTTTTCTGAGGAAATGTGCCTGCCTCCACCAAATGTGGAGCAGCAGACGGACCCAGCTTCCCGTGGCGAAGGTGTGAGCGTGGGTGTGATCCTCTGGCTGGAAGTGTGTTCTTTTGGCTGGGCACGTGTGGGCTGGAGCTAAAACTGGGATTCTGTTAGACAGAATGGATGTGTGGGATACAGTTATACTAAAAATTATTTGTTCTTTATCTGAAATTCAAATTTAACTGGGATCTCTGGATTTCTTTACTTGCCAGATCCGGCAACTTACAGAGAAGGTGGCACAAAGGAGAGGGATTTGAGGGCTAGGCGGTGGTGAAGCTGGCAAGCCCCTGGCTGGGTTGGCTTGGCTGCGGGTGGGGGAAAGATACAGGAGAAGGAGAACTGGCAACAGGGTGGATGGTCATGCTGTTGCCGGGACCCCTCTACTCCGTGTGGCATTGTGTACGATGGAGGAAAGATGTCCTTTCAGTGGACGCAGCCCTATGGATGCACAGGTCGGTGAGTCATGTGCAAGCTGAACTTCAACCTCCATTTGCTTGTCGAGCAGAGAACTTTTTACATAGCACTCACGGCAGCCCTGAAATAAGGAACGCTGAGGAAGTGCAGGTTTTCTGGGAGGAGGTCAGTG